TCTCTCTGTGTCTCTCTCCTGCCACGCAGTGTGCTGTTATACCTCTCTCTCTCTCTCTCTCTCTCTCTCCTGCCACGCAGTGAGCTGGTACACCTCTCTCCCTGTCTTTCTCCCCATTGTGCTTATACTTACCTGGGTTTTTTTTCACTCCTGCAGATTTGGCCAGTGTCATTCAGGTGTACTCCAGGTGCTGAAATTGTATTCCGGTTTGAAATGACTTGTTTTTGGCTCCTAGGAGCATAGATTTGTCCACTGCCCTTTTACATGCGCTGTGTGATGGCTCACTACCCCAACTCCTCTGCCCAAGTGTAAAACCCTCTGCTCCCCTTATTGCCCCTGGCCCTTGGGCAACAGCACCAACTGTTAGGATTTTTGGCAGGATCACTGTCATAATGGGTTCAGGGTTTAGAACAGGCTCTGGACAGAGTAGCACTAGTTAGGTACCGGTGAAACACAGTGGAGATGAAATGAGCCTTGAGCTTCTCAGAGCATGGATTCTGCCGGCTCCGTCTGATTTGCTGGCCTGTGGGAGTAACAATGCCTGCTTGGCTTGTTGGAAAGATGTAAACACACACGCAAACACAGTGATTGCTCATGTCTCACAGAGCCTATTCAACGTGCTAGGAGCCAGCAGAAACAGACATGAGCTTCGGCTCCTTCATTAATGAACAGGTTTGGCCTGGTGCGATAGCGTAGTGGGTAAAGACCTCGCCTTGAGCACGCTGGGATCCCATATGGGCACTGGTTCTAATCCCTGTTGACCTCCTTCCCATCCAGCTCCCTGCTTGTGGCCTGGGGAAGGACAGCCCAAAGCCCCTGGACTCTGCACCCACATGGGAGGGAGACCCAGAAGAGCTCCTGGCTGCCATCTTCCAGTCAGCTCAGCTCCAGCCGTTGCAGTCAGTTGGGGAGTGAACCATCAGACGGAAGATCTTCCTCTCTGTCTCTCCTCCTCTCTGTATATCTGCCTTTCCAATAAAAATAAATAAACCTTTTTTAAAAAATGAACAAGTTGACATGGGTACACACCATACAGATGCGGACTCAGTTTCCCTGTGTGGGGAAAGCTGAGCAGACAGAACACGAGGTGGTTTTCATCCATTTTAAATCCTAGATATGAAAAAAGAATCGTAAGCAGGCCCCTAACCCCTGAGGCGTTCTGGCTGGATCAGCAGGGCCGTGACACACCTCCTTCCTGCCCCTTAAGGTTCTGGAAGAGAACTGGTCATTTAAAATCAAGTGACTTGTTCTGCTGACAGGGAGGGTGTTTCTGATGGTCTTGGGAATCGCAGCTAATGCATCCCAGTATGAGGCCAGCAGGCACTAACGCGACTGTGGCAGGACTACTGTTCCCTGGAGGCACCTGCTCAGCTGTCCTCCTCAGCAGTACATCCCTTCACTGCATCCCTGCAGTGCCTCACCCCTTGGATGGCACATGCCCTGGAGCAGGAGGTAGCCATGGCAGCCAGCAAGGCATCCAGCCCAGTGTGGGCACTGCGGAATGTCCCCGAAATGTCACGTGCCTGCACCTGAACCTCACACGTTTCTGAAAATGCAGGGGGTTTCCAGAGCCTTGTCAGAGCCGAGAGAGACCCAGCCAGTGTGCAGATGACAGCAGGGCCATGCACCTGCTGTTGTCACTTGAGAGAAGAACCCGTGATCATTGTCAGTAGGGAAGCTAATGCGTGGGGCCAGTGTGTGACACACGGAGTTAAGGTGCCATGGCAACTCCTGCATTCCACAGGAGCTCTGGTCCTGGCTGCTCTGCGTCCTGTCTACCTCTCTGCTCACACGCTTGCCAAGGCAGAGAAAAGTGGCCCAAATGCTTAGGCTCCTGCCACCCATGTGGGTGACCCCGATGCTATTCCTGGCTGCTAGGTTTGGTTTTGCCCATCCTGATGTTGAGGCCAAGTGGCGGGAGGTAGGGGGCGGGGAGGGTGAACCATAGTATGAAAGACCTTTCTCCCGGTCAGAAAAATAAATAAATATTTAAAGAAAGGGAGAAAGAAAAAGTGTGAGTGCACACAGATGATAAGGAGCAGACTGCCATCGAGGCCGAGTGCTTGCCAGGGCTCTGCTTTCTGGCAACTGAAGGGGCAGGAATGACCTCCCAGGGAAAGGCAAGCCAGCCGTCACTGCAGGCAGGAGGGGTGCTGCGGAGCCACTGGCACCTCATGAAGAAGCAATTCCTTCCCCCGCCCGACTCCCCAGCTCCAAATGCCACGGGAAACACAAAGGACTCAGCTGTGTCCTCTTGTGCCAGTGGATGCCCAAAGACTGGCTGAGGTTCCTGTCTGACATGGAGGTAACGTGGAACGCCCCGGACCACTGGCAGCAAATGTCACTCAGTGTCACTTCCAGGCCCGAGAAGAGCCCCCCAGCCTTTGTGCATGTCTGCCCCACTAAACGAGCAAGTCAGCCGACAGAGTGTCCCAGTGGGAACGTCTCGGCCACTCGCTGCCAGTGACTTTGGCATCTCTCTCTGCCGCTGCTTTTGCGTCCTTAGTCCCCATGTTACCTAAGGATGTTGCGGAGGTTGGGGGGCCTCTCCGAAGCTTTGCCTTCTGCTGTTTTCTGCTATTATCAGGAGGGAAAGGGGACAAAGAAGGCATTTACACAAATGGATAAAAATCTAATTTACAGTGCTTGTTATTAGAGAAGTTTCTGTAACGAAAGAGTACATTTCTTACTAAATTTTCTGGCTTTTTATACCAAATCTTGATCAGATATTTTTTTCTTTCTGTTTTACTCAAGACTTTTACAACAACAACAACAAATTAGAATATGGACAGATGCTTGCTCTAGCTGGCCTTCTTTTAATTTCCAAATGCAGGTATTTCCACTCAAAACTCTAATTTTAAAGAAAATAACACGTAGGCATAATCTCACCAGTCACATGTATTTTTTTTAAGTCAGAACTACCAGGAGATGGGGAGAGGCACAGTCAGAGGGCTACCCTACCTGCTGGCTCACTTCCCAAACGGCCACAGTGGCCAGGGTTGGGTCAGACTAAAGCTAACAGCCAGCAGCTTTGTTCAGATCTCCCCCGTGGGAGGTGAGGGTCTGACACCTGGGCCTCTCCCAGGCCATGGACTGGAGCTATACTGGCACTGGAGCAGCTGGCACCTAGGATGCCCATATCACAGGCAGTGGCTTTACTCACTAGACCACAACACCAAATGTTTCTTCTCTACAGAGTAAAATCTGATTTTTCTTCTGTATGTACAATTTAACCAGATTTAAAATTCACACATGAACTTTTAAAAACTATTAATTACTTTTTCCACTGTATGTGTTTTAAAATCGACACCTCTTTTATGTCAACAGCTTCACTGATACTGGAGTATTACAACATAGTTTTTTCATCTTGATCATTTCCAAATAATAATGGGATAAAAAAGTCAAATTAAAAGTAATTTCAGACTAAAAAGGTAACTGTTGAGTCTTATGCCTTATGTGTTATTGTTGAATAACAGGTTTTATTCCTGCCTCTTAAAAATGGTTTATTTGGGTCTGGCGTGGTGGCCTAGTGCCTAAAGTCCTCGCCTTAAATGCACCAGGATCCCATATGATTGCCTGTTCTAATCCCGGCGGCCCCACTTCCCATCCAACTCCCTGCTTGTGGCCCGGAAAGCAGTCAAGGATGGACCAAAGTCTTGGGACCCTGCACCCACATGGGAGGCCCAGAAGAGCTCCTGGCTCCTGGCTTCGGATCGGTGCAGTACCTGCCGTTGCAGTCACTTGGGGAGGGACTCATTGGATGGAAGACCTTCCTCTCTGTCTCTCTTTTTCTCTGTGTATCTGACTTTGCAATAAAAATAAATAATTTCTAAAAAAGATTTATTTATTTAGTTAGTTAGTTATTTGGAAGGGAGGGAGGGAGGGAGGGGGAGAGAGAGAGAGGGAGAGAGGGAGATCCATCTTCCATTTGGTGATTCACTCCCCAAGTGCTGGCAATAGCCAGGGACATACCATCCAGGGCAAAGCCAGAAGCAAGAAATCCTCTCTGCTCCTCCCACATGGAGAAGGCCAAGTATTTCAGCCTTCACTCACTGCCCTCCCTGCGCCTCAGCAGGAGCTACACTGGAAGCAGAGCCCAGACTTGAACAGGGCAGTCTGCAAAGAATCCAGGTGTTCCAAGAGGCAGATGCAACTGCCACATCACACGACCTTCCTTGAATATCCAATTTTAAAAAAAAAAAAATGTTTCCTTACATAAGAAAGGCAAATAATTGCACGAACCACCACCAACAAAACAAATCAAAAAGCTTTTTTCTTTCTAAGAAAATGTAGGGATGTGACCCCTCCTAGTTCTGACTGCTGAGCTTGGCCCTTAGATTCCTCATCTCTGGATTTTCATTCTGGGTTAGTTTCTACTCTGTAGCGAAACTGCTGTGTACTTGAACTAGATCCCACCCAGCGCACTGTCTCTAAAAGAAAAACCACATACGCAAAGGAGGGATACACACACTTAACAAACCATGCGTATCCCAGGATCCAAGCGTTCTCGTTTTGTCCTCAGACTCTGGGCACAGACCATTGGATGCACCCAATGTACTTTTTCTGTCTCGGTGAGTCCACCTACAGAAGGAAATGCACTCAGACCACTTCATTACTAAAATATTCCAAACCAGCCTGGAGATACGGAAGTGGGTAGCGATACAGACACTTGGCCAAGTGTTGTGTTGCACTAGTGAGTGCTCCATCTTCCTTTTAAGGACACTGAAGGACACACTTGACATGCCCCGGGGCCAACCCAGTTCACAGAAATGAAGACTTAAACCAAAAAAAAAAAAAAAGGAAAGAAAAAAAGCCAGCATTACCTTGGGGTCTGGATCAATGCCCTCCTAAAACATTTTTTGGCCTGCCTAAAAATGCAATTTCTAGACTAATCAGATATGGGTCCACAGCCCCTGATAAGGCCCTCCTTTATTTTGTACTCATGTTTCTTTCTATGCACTGATAAAAGAAAAAAAAAAAACAACAAAATCACAACTTACTTTCATAGAAAACTGGATACATGTCCGTTCATCCACTTGGTATGAGACACAAAGCATGAACAAGCCAAGGTAGGCTACCACGCAGACCTGTGGGAGGAAGCACCAAATAAAGGAAGTTAGCAGTTAAGTCACGATTCCAGCGGCATCGAGTCAGGGTCTTTGTAACGTTGGTGTGGTCTGTGGTCTGTGTTCACCCCATTTACTTATCTTTATGGACTGTATTTCTCCCCCAGATTTGTGGAACCCAGCTTTTTAAAACAATGAAGCTCATTTACTGCCGTTTAGCCAGTATTGGGCCAGCCCCTTTGATGCGCCAGGTGCTTTACGAGGTCCTTTAGGGTGTCCTACTATGAATAAAACATCCTCTGCCTTAATCGGTTTATAGCCCAGCACAGGCCAGAAGTGAAGGCCTACATTTAGTAGTCGAAGGGCATCACATGTCTCCTGCCACTCAGAGCAGTGCAAAAAAAAAAAGGAAGGAATTACACCCAGTGGAATGCACGAAGATGGATCCTGATGATCCTGTAAGGGGCCCACAGGGCTCACAGCCCATGTTGGCGGTGTGCAAGGGGCTGGCTCTCTTCCTGGGCTTGGTATGGACAAGGGATTTTCACAACTTCATGGAAAATGTGCTTTATGGTGGGATAAGGGAGGGAAGTTGCATGGTTCTCAAAATATTTTTGCACCAAAATAAAATTATCTTTGAATTCTACTTTTCCATGCATTTTTCGAAGCACCCTCACATATCACAAAATCCTATAGAGCAATCCTCGCCATGAGGAAGAAGAACGTGGGTTGGACAATCTTGGCACAAACATAAGCTTATCTTTTATTTTTAAGAAGTGTTCATTTTCATCTGCCCGAGATGGAGATAGAGAGGGGGAGAAGCATGCATGCTTCCACGTGCTGATTCACTTGCCGAACGCCTGCAGCAGCCACAGCTGGGCCAGGCTGGAACCAGGAGTCTAGAGCTCCACTGAGGCTCACACAGGGGCGGCAGGGGGTCAGACATTTGAGCCATCCCCTTCTGCCTCGCAGGACGCAGTGGCAGGAAGGTGGGGTGAGAAGTGGAGCCCAGACTTGAAGCTGGTACTCTGAGAGATTCAGGTATCCCAAATGGTGTCTCAGCTGCCATGCCGAAGGCCTGGGCTGTGGCCCTGAAACTGGGATTGAGAACTTCTCATTGAATGTCTCAATTTTAGAAAGCTGAAAATACCGATAAAGTTTTCTACCTTAAGGTAGAAAAGGACAAAATTGCATTTTCCAATAAGCAATGGTTTTCCTAGAGCAGGTGAGTCACCATAGCAAATCATTAAACAACTGTTTGATAATGCCTGTAATCCCCAACTATCCAACCTCGGGGCAGCTTCGGAGCCACACTGTCCCCGGGAGCGTGGGGGAGCGTTCACTCACGCTTGCCTTCCCAGAGAATACGTCTGTCTGATTCTCCCCTGGATTACACAACCACTGTCTGTGTCCTCACTGATTCTCAGTTGAGGGTACAGAGCCAAAAGCCAAGCATTCTTTGAGTTCCAGCTGTTTCCAGAGTTTTCAGTCATTAGGACTGGCTCCATGGTTTAATAGCAGTTGATACCATTCCCAGTACAGAGACGTGGCATTAAAACCTGTGAGCAGGCCATGGGCTGGGGAGGTTGGGATGGACAAAGCAGATGGGACCCAGGGCTGGGAGGCCTGGCAGCTAAGGCACACAGGATCCTGAAGCGTCTATGCAGCCCGGAAGTGTGGCTGTCATCTCCGAGCCAGGACAGGGTTGTTTTGAAAGGCCCTGTTAACAAACACCAACGTGAGGGATGGGTTTGATAAGGCCTGTTGGGGTTTACTATCTGTTCCCACTTGAGATATTCCAGAATTGAAAGAACAGGAGGAAGATCTCCTTTTAAGTATACTGATGGCAAACCCAGTTGAGGCTGATCTCCCTGCTTGCCCAGGGCATCACGAGGCACGTGCCTGCGTCCCCTGGACAGTTTCAGTCCACACACACATAGGGAGAGCCTCGCTTCCTCCTGCCTTTCCCTGCAGGCTGTTACACTCAAGGTGGTGATGGCTGAGACTTTCATCTTCATCTTGGCAAAAAATACATGCCAACAACCAAAGCCCAACAGACTAGCATTCTAACAATCTCACTCAGTGCTTTTCCTGGAGGAACACATCCCATTTCTGCAGTAGCTGCTTTTCTGTAGCCTTCCTGTCACCCGGCTTCCAATGAGAAGCTGCACAGGAACGCATGACCTCATTCCTGAGCATTGTCTCACTTTGTTGAAGACGTAGGATACGTGGCCAAACTGCACTGTTGCATGACCGGGAATCCAGAGATGGACAGAGCCCCTTACACCAAAGAATTCTTTGGCCTCCAAGAAGTTCTTATTGTAAGGATGGAAGGAGAGGAGAGGAGACCGTACCATCAGGGGAGTGCTAGAACCATGGGAGGGGTAGCCAGGCTGAAGGAGACATTTGGAAAGGCGGCATGGTGGAGGACAAGCACATCCTCCTGATAGCAACATTGGCTGCTGGGAGGATGTGCGGATGGGCATTCTGCGTATCACTGCATGGAGAACCACAGGGCAAACCTTCCACATAGCACAGGCTCCCTTTTGTCTTTTAGGACGGAGCTTCTGGCTGTGAAGAGGGGGTGAGATGGGGCTGGGTGTGAGTGAGGGACAGGAAGGAATCAAAATGCAGAGGTGCTGCGCACTGATGAGGGCAAAGAAGAGGAAGGGATCAGAAAGCTCCTCAGGTGCCTGCAGAGACCGGAAGTGCTGCAGACAGCAGTGGGCAAGAAGGCTCCTGCCTGGTGGCTCGGCTCAGCCCTGCACGCCTCAGGCTCAGGAAGGTGGGTACAGGTGCTGTTGATCTGCATGTGGAAAGCCACTGGGACACGCCGGCACTTCCAGGGAGTCTGGCGAAAACAGGGACCAAGGAAGCCACCCAGTTCTGAAGGACTTCTGCATCTGAAATATACCACTTGTCATTTTGGCTAACCATCACAGATAGCTAAGAATTAGGAAACTGAGGCCCAGCACAGTAACCTAGTGGCTAAAGCCCTTGCCTTGCTCGCACTGGAATTCAATATGAGCAACGGTTTGTGTCAAGTGGCCCTGATTCCCATCCAGTTCCCTGCTTGTGGCCTGGGGAAACATGTCTAGCATGGTCCAAAGCTTTGGGACCCTGCACCTGTGTAGGAGACCTGGAAGAGGCTCCTGGCTCCTGGCTCCTGGCTTTGGACTGGTTCAGCTCCAGCCATTACGGCCGCTTGGGGAGTGAACCAGCAGATAGAGGATCTTCCTTTCTATCTCTCCTCCTTTGCCAATAAAGAGAAAATAAATTCTTACAAAGAAAAAGAATTAGGAAACTGATCATGGTTCTGGCGTTTGAGAGTTTCACTTCTAGTCCCTCAGAGTGTCTTGGCTCCCTGTTGGGCTTGAGGGGTTTGAGGGTGTGAGAGGGCTTTCATGTTCTAGCTGCAGCTTTGCAGATTTTAACAACATCCCTTCATCCGACTTCCCTGGTGCCAAGTACATGCATGTTCTAGAAGTGTACTTAACAGTGAAGGCTTCCTGGCCAGGGAGCAGAAAACAGATCACTCCTGCCAAACGAAGGGGCTCATTTCCTGAGCTGGCAGGATGCGCACACACCGCGAAGACATGGCGGTCCGACTTTCCAGACAAGAAAGGGGCAGCTAGGGTTAATGGGCAGGTCTCTCTGGAATGGTCAAGCAGTCCAGACAGGGCCCTTTTGAACACGGTGAGGTGAGGCCGTGGGACAGGAAGAGAGTGGCTAAGTGGGGTTTCCCAGAAAGCCCTTGCTGGAGCAGATCCCAGGCCTGAGGTAGCCTGGTGGGTGGGTGGGGTGAGCCACAGCACAACGTCAGTGACAAACAGGTGGGCTGGGGAAGACTAGAAGAAAGGAGCATAGTAAAATTTAGCCCATGCACAGATGGGTAATTATGCGAATACAAAAACCTCAAAGTGATTTTTCACTGGGAAAAGTAAAGAAAAAATAAAGACGATTGTCATTTTAACCTACATTGGGAAGTTTGTCTCTACAATTTGTTGAGCATAAAGAAATCACTAGAATTTTAAATTCCACATTCTGTCTCAAGGTTTTTTTTTTTTTTTTTCTGTCCAGAGAGGTCTGCCTCGCTCTTGTGTTTTGGAAAGTTAAATAGGGCTGCAGCGTTCTCTGAATGTTAAGTTCACTTCTAAATGTAGGCGCCCGAGTCCGTCACACAGTCTTTGCATTTGCCATTTGGCCCACTGTGTCTGCAGTGGTGCCTTTAAAAGGTTTGCATTATGAATAAATGGTGGACCTTGAACCAGTGGCTCAGAGACTGGCTTGCATATTCGGGGGTTTTTTTTATCCCCTTTTCACTTTGTCATGGCTAGAAGGACTCACCCTGAAATGTATTTTGAGAATAAGAATTACTGGTCTTCACTTCTCCCCATGTCACATATATTTGTATTCTGGTCTTGTGACATTCACACAACCTCCAACTTACTTGTTTTCCTCTCTTTGTCAACGGAGTGGCTTGACAGGACCGTCTGGGGAACACAGCCTGCTCCTGTCAAATGCCGTCCGATGTTTCCCTTCTCCTTCCACAACCCCACTCCACCTCCACTCCACTCGTGTCCCCAAAACGTGACTCAACCCTGTAAGTCAATCAACTCTCAGCTCGGTAGTGAAGGTGCTTTAATTCAATCGGTGTCATGACAAGATGAACTCTCACGTTTGTGAAGTCAACTGATCAACAAGAGAAGCAGCACAACTCTAGACGTGTCTCTGGGAATTTCTTAAGAACTTCCGTGGATTTCCACCCACTCGCTACACTGGAAGGTCAACTGCTGGACGCCCTTTCCGACACGGAATAAATGCACTGCAGCCCGTCCACCATGCGGCCTTCCCGAGGGGATTGTTAGCACACAATGCACCAGAAAATTAAATAACAGGAAACAGAACATTTCATGAGGTCCTATTAAAGGTTGTTTAGTGGATCAAGATTGCAGAAGGCTTAGAGAGAATATTTTAGTCTCAAGTATTTTCACTGGATTGACTGCAGTTGCCTGACAGTG